AACCTTATATTTATTTCTCAGTTGTGTATTAATAACGTGTCGTGACAAGAATTCTTGTACATTTAATTAGTGAGTTAACTGCTCACTGTGGCATACTTATATCGTGTCTACGTAGTCTACTGAGTTAGCTGTTCACCTTGAGACGCAGGTATCGTGTCTAATAGCCTACTTGAAAATTCTGATCGTGTTGGTAAAAAGTACTTACCTTTAACTCTAGGGAAGTCTTCTCTACAAACCTGTTAGTTAATCTCCGAAACCTGTAAGGAATGTGTATCTAATTAAAGAAATTTTCTGTCCCCCCTACAGGATTGAACCTCGGTGGCTCAGCGGTAAACTTCAAGGCTTATAACGTTAGAATGTAGGGTTCGATCCTTGTGGCAAACATAGTAGTTTTAGTGTAGCTTTCCATTATAAAAACAATAAAGTTTAGATATTGGCTAATTATTTTTGGTAAGATGAAAATAACTAATCTTTACTTATTTTTACTTTTTTTGAAATCTCACAACGGGATCCCGTAAGAGGTCGCTACAGTCGACCGTAAGTCCTTTTTCTCGAACGTCAGGATGCTTCTTATGCATGAGCCAGCCCATATGTGCGAAAAAAAAACCTCTGTTGACGTTATGAGGGTCAGCATCAGTCTCCGAAAACTTGTGGTGCACACGATGATCTCTTGACCACTCGTAAAGGTCGTTAAAACAGTTATGTTTCTGTAGAATAATCATAGTAACAATAAAAACATTTAAAAACAAAACAATACTTTAATAAACAGGTTGGAAACGAATAATAATGACTACTTGTTTACATGTGATAAATATTACATACATGAATATGTAGTTCGTTGCTCAAGATTCATTATTTATGCTAAAACTTTTTTTCTATACCTTATTGAAGTTAATGTTAATTAAATAACATTTCTTCATGTTACTGTCCATCAGTTATTGGTCCTCGTTTATCACTGTCATGGCAGGTGATATGTACTTTGTTGATGTTATGGCAGGTGTATCACCTGCCATAACATCTACAAAGTACATATCATCTGTCATAACATCACAAAATACATATCACCTGTCATAACATCTACAAAGTACATATCACCTGCCATAACATCTACAAAGTACATATTACCTGTCGTAACATCAACAAAGTACATATCACCTGTCGTAACATCAACAAAGTACATATAGTCATAACATCAACAAAGTACATATCACCTGTCATAACATCTACAAAGTACATATCACCTGTCATAACATCTACAAAGTACATATCACCTGTCATAACATCAACAAAGTACATATCACCAGTCATAACATCAACAAAGTACATATCACCTGTCATAACATCTACAAAGTACATATCACCTGTCATAACATCTACAAAGTACAGGTGATATGTACTTTGTTGATGTTATGACTGGTGTTATGTAATAATCATCATTATTTACGGTAATTGCTTAATGTTAAGTGACTTTTTGCGTAGGCGTGTACAAGTATGTGATAGTTTGCGTTACCGCAGTCTGAGCTACAGAAAGTGGAATATCGCTAAACTATTAATTACACACAGTGTGTCCTGCGGGTTGTTTTGATGTTTCTTCCTATATTATTTCCAGGTTCTACATTCCCCTGGTAGTTCTCTTCAGTTTTTACATTCCGACCATGATACCAGTGTGGTTTTGGAGAGAACGTGTTTGGTTCGCCTTTCTTACGAATGGTATACTACGTTACGTAGTAACACTACACTTCACGTGGTTGGTGAACAGCGCCGCCCACTACTGGGGAAATAGACCATACAATCGATTCATGAATGCGCGGGAAAACAAGCACGTGGCTTTCTGGGCTCTAGGCGAAGGCTTCCACAACTACCACCACACCTTTCCATACGACTACTCCACCAGTGAGTACGGCTGGAAGCTCAACATATCCACGATGTTCATCGACTTCATGGCGATGCTGGGACAAGCTTATGATATGAAGACAGTGTCAGCTGAGGTAATAATGAAAACTAAGCTGAAAACTGGAGACGGAACACAGACGTTTGAATCTTAAATACGGTTGTAATAATGAAATTATGAATAAACGATATTACACAATGAATAACAAACAATATGATTATTTTTATTGGAATATATAACAGTTGATTGTTTTAGTTCAAACCAACATTGGAATATCTGCGGTGTCCAGCAAACCCCGAAATTCAATGTCCTAAGTCAATACATTTACCACAGAGCTATAGGGATACAATAAATAAGTCAGCCATACAGGACAAATTAACATTAAACACTAAGGAAGGCCATGTGACAACTATGACACTAAGGAGGACCATATGACAAGTATGACAGTAAGGAGGGCCATGTGACAAGTATGACACTTAGGAGGACAATATGACAAATATGACAGTAAGAAGGGTCATGTGACAACTATGACAGTAAGGAGGACCATATTACAAGTATGACAGTAAGGAGGGCCATGTGACAACTATGACAGTAAGGAGGACAATATGACAAGTATGACAGTAAAGGGTCATGTGACAACTATGACAGTAAGGAGGACCATATTACAACTATGGCAGTAAGGAGAGCCATGTGACAACTATGACAGTGAAGACGACCATGTGACTACAACGAAAGTAAAGAGGACCAAGTGACAACTATGACACTAAGGAGGACAATATGACAAGTATGACAGTAAGGAGGGCCATGTGACAACTATGGCAGTAAGGAGGACCATATTACAACTATGACAGTAAGAATGACACTATGATAACTATGACAGTAAAGACGACCATGTGACTACAACGAAAGTAAAGCGGATCATGTGACAACTATGTATATTGTAATTTCTACAACATTTTAAAATTAACGATGCTATTTACTCACAAAACTATTTTTATTTCAAAAAATTACTTAATACTATGAGATCTTTCAAAGAACAAATCGGTCATGTTTTTAGTATAGAATTTTCTAATCTATTTATTCACCCACTCTCCACATATACAGAATGATTTACACATCAAGAAAGCTTCCATTACATTACTACTGTTCTGAGGTTTTCTAAGGATGGCCGTCTTTGTAAGAATTATTACGTAAAATAAGGCCAAGTCCGGTCGACGTAACGAAAGCGAATTAGTTTATTTCGTCTAATACAGGATACATTCACTTTGATATAGACTGTAGGACTAAGTTCACAAATAACACATCAGAAGAAACTTCTCGCTAATGATGCCATACTTAACTCGTAAATAAACTTACTTGTGCAATTCTACGACTAGTAAATCGACTAAGTGAATATATCGGCGATAACTCTCTCTCTGCTATTAGTAATGACACTGAACACATTTTCTGACACTGAATTGAAGTAAATACGTCACTAACTGAACTGAATCACCACTCACTACTCATATTTATAAAGTGAAATATAAAATA